AAGAGTTTAGAAGTTCAACAATGCCTATACATTACTGTGAAACAGGAAAATGTACACCCTACAGTCTTTATATTATTAATGTAGCTTAGATAATTTGAAAAATACATTATTAATTATAATTTTGGGAGTTTTTATTAAGAATGTATAATTTACATATGTAATACATGTGTGTTAATGAATGATAAGTCTATAAAGAGATACTAAATGTTATTAAGAAAAGGATTTGGTGTGGTGCATTTAAGTCAAGTACAATTATTATTTCCCTAGTGTATTTTAAATGAAATTCTATTTGGGCAACTGAGTTACAAACAAGGACTTTATAACCATAGGCCTTATGGGAAGTAAATATAAGAATGTATAAAAAAACCTGCATAGTTGCTGAAAAAGAATATAAATGAAATTAAAAAAACTGAAAGGAAATTAATCTTTGATTTGATAGACTACATGTCAAAAACGTTGTTTTGATAATGGTGTACAGTGAAAATAGAAAAAAACCCATAAAAATCCTACCTACCTATTCTAATTTTTTTCTAGCAGTGTTACCATAAACTTAGATTTTTTTTTTTGCCTAATGTGCAATGACAAATAAGCATGTGATAAGGATTAAAAATTAGAGAAAGTGGAATCAGGATTTTGCTTATTCAAAATATTGTTGGCTCACTTTCCACTAGAATATTTTTATTTACTGAATAATGAATAATTTTATACCCATAGCTTCTTCCAAATAAAATAATGTTTGAACTTGGAACCATAAAGTTCAAATGGCATGAGCATTACATTGGATATTTAAATTACAAAACAGGGATGTCCCCCAGTGGGACAAAGGTAAGTTTAAGGACTTACACTTCTAAAATCTGGGGTTCAATTTCCTGCAGTTTAAGTAGTCATTCAGTACTTTTTACTCTTACTTATGTAGTTATTCAGTACTTTTTACTCTTACTTATGTAGTTATTCAGTACTTTTTACTCTTACTTATGTAGTTATTCAGTACTTTTTACTCTTACTTATGTAGTTATTCAGTACTTTGACTTTTACTTAAGTAGTCATCAACAATAGTTACTTATACTTAGGTAGTCATAAACAACAGGTACTTTTACTTTTTACTTGAGTGAATATTTTCTAAAGTAACAGTACTTTTACTCAAGTAAATATTCTCAATACTTTACCAATCACTGAAAGTGAGTACGTATTATCAAGTTTATTTTCTGGCATGATTAAATGATTAATTTTCTGATTTCTTTTCCTTTTGTTTGTTTGAAGGCAAAAACCACATTGGGCTATCTGCTGTGTCAATAAGAGTAAAAAGTACTGAATGACTACTTAAGTAAAAGTAAAAAGTACTGAATAAAGTGAAAACTACCAACAAAAAATAAGTAATGATAGTATTATTAAAAATAACTTACATTCACCTTAAATTCACACGTAAAAGGCACTACCAAATTTAAACTCAACAAACTTTATTTTCATTAAAACAATCAGTATTACTGTCTATGGTACAGCTCTTCACACACTCCACTTATTATTTAGCTTCAACAGCAGCTGATTTTCATAGTTCCTACTTGTCTCGGTGTGAAAAAGAACCCTGCAGAACTAAACAAATGCTCTCATGCTGCAACTTCACTGAATTTCACACTGTTGTTTTCAGTGAAAATAAGTCTTTCAAATAAAGCCATGGATGATTATTTGTGTCAGACATGATGGTCACAGTGCAACGAAGTTACCACAGTCAACATTAGAGGTAAAATGGCTATGTTTCTTTCCTGCTTAGCAGCACAGGAAATACCACTGCTTATGATTGTCTCATTTAAAAGAGTAGGCACGCTCTGATTGATGTTAACAAAAAGTATTACCATGTCAACCAGTGTGATTTTTCTCCAATTTTTTCAAATGTAATGACAGTCTTATAAAAGAAATGTAGTGGAGTAAATGTAGATAATTTTTTCTTGATTTCACTTAAGTAAAAGTAAAATATTTTTAGAGTACTTAAGTAACAGTAAATTCCAGAAAAGTTACTCAAGTAGTGTAACAAAGTAACGCTACTTCATTACTTCCGAACTCTGTTCACTTTGCCAAACGATGTTTACTTCTATATTGTTTATGTAGTTGCATGTCTGTAAATGCCCTTCTACATCAACTAACTTAACATATGGTGTTATGAAGGCATTGGAGATTGAACAAGGACATATACATGCTGTATTAGTGACTGACTTTGATTGTTCTTCCATTCAGTCTGACAAGGATGCTATATACTAGTCTTTTGCTGTGGGTATGTAGGTCTCTACTTTGAAAAATGTATGATGCTAAGTACATGGATGATGTGAAAGCACTGTTTATTCAGGGATGCTAAGCAGCCTTGAATAAGTTAGGCTTAGGTTGAATGTGAGTATCTCATTCAAAAATATCCAAATGCCTTGGATATACTTGTTGAAAAAAAAAAAGTAGAAGTACCACTAGCAGTCTAGTAACATCTGAAAAGTGGGGACAGATGTCTTCATATACTTTATAACAATATATAATGAATTTCTACACCATGTTGTCAGCATATTCAACAAGAATCCAAATATTAGACCTCAAGCAACTGTTGGTTGATTGAAGAAATAATACAGTACAAGGCTTTCCTACTGATCAGCAAATATAAAATAAAATATCTGCAATGAAGTCTCAATTTCATAAGACACACACTTCCAAATGTGCTACCTTAGAATTAGGCAACATTAATGCATAACTAGTATTTTACTTGTTAAACATTGTGATTTTAACAATAAAATGGATGTTTATTTTCCAGTAGATGTAACTTTTGAATTCCATATTTTCTGAAGTATTTATGCATTAAAAAAGTTTCAAGTGCATGCAGCCTTGCAATGTCTGTTGCACTTTGAAACTGCCTAAATGCCAGATGTAGCCATTAAAAAAGTGTGGCATATTTTTTAAGTGAAACTGTTCCCTAGACTTGCAAAAGGTAAATAAATTGGAGGTTTATTAAAGTGTATCATAATGTTGTCTCCAGCAGCAGCAAAAAAAAAGAAAAGAAAAACTTCTACCATGTTGTTCATTGTACATCCATAAACTTGTACTAATTTGGCAACAACTTGGAACAAAGGAGAAACATTGAAATATAACTTTAAAATCAGTTTTTCTTTGTTCCAAAACATATTTAGATACATAACTTCATTCATTATTAGTCACACATTGATTGGTATTTTGGTATTAAATTTCATGAACAGGACTATTAAATTTATATTTTTTGTATGATACCTTATTTACTCTTACAACATGTTTTCCATAAATTTGGCATGTACTTTGACACTTAAAATATCAACATTTTGAATTCTTTTTGTACTATCACAAGGGCTTTCAAGAGCATCTTGGTGCCAGTGTAGTAGCAGGTCAGTCTGTTATCAAGCTTTTATAGGTAGGTCAAAATATTCACAAAAGTTCTACGTTCAAAAGCACTTTATAATCTTTCACACGTGAATGAGGCGTAGTGATGTTTAAAACTTTGCCCTGACTGGGTTTAAATCTAGATCTTTGACTCATGCTAATGTTTATCAACTTAGCTACAAGCAACTAACTTCTTCCCTTTATTTCATCAGTAATAGTTCTTAAGCCTACAACTGTGGCACGCACACTATGCAGTACCCTAAGGCTTTTTTACACACAAGAGATTCCAGCTGTTGTCTTGTTGACAGCATGACTATACAAACAAGAGTACATCAGACCAACTGCTAAACTCTGATCAGATTATAAATAGCCCTTGGAGATAGAACAGTGGTGTTTTAAGAATTTTTTATTTGGGGGGGACAGAAGCAAGTGTATTAGAAGGGGAGTGACGTAGTGTTATTAAATATATTAGAAAGAGGCTATTTTACCTTTAACCCATTGACTGGTGATTCACCATATAGGATACAGTCTGCCTCTGGCAGTTGAACGTAAGTGTGTTGTATACAGCGTACGGCTCGTGCATGTTTAAAGCAAATGGTATCAAAGGATGAAGAATTGTGTGTTTATACCTTTTAATTATCAAAAAAGCTTCTTGGCAGTCTTCATTCTGTTTCGAACTATCGTTAAGTCTCACCTGATTGAAGATACTGCTTTCGATTCAAGATACATAATATGACAACCCTGCTTACCCCCAAAAAATCAATATTTTCATGTCACTGGGAGTCAAATGTAGGGAGAATTTAAAATGTTAAAAGACTAATTAATGGTATCTCAGATTGAGTGGGGTATGCTGGAGGGTATAGCTCTCCAATGGGGGGTCTGCTACAACAACAAGCCTTTGGGATGGAATGGTTTGCAATTTAGAAAGTTTAGTTTAAGATAATTTTATATTTTAAATGAGTCTGCCTTTTTAAGTATATACTTGTGTGTTCTTACTTATTTAGTATGTTAACAGGTTTTGTATTACAAATATTCACTTACAATTCTTTTGTGTCTCTACTATTACTCGCACATTTAGTCTTGAGCAAATGAATTATATCTGTATGTTTCCAGAATGTATCATTAGTTACCTAAACGTTTTTAAACATACTTAATGGGTTTTTACCAACCAATCTAAATTATTAATTTTTGACATTATGTTACATTAAATTATTGAAGCTTAATTTTTTCCTTGTTGTTCAGTGTGGGTTGTTTCATTATAGAGTTGTTTTTTTTTTTTTTAGTTATCTATCATTTCATATTGTTGAACAGCTGTGTTCCCTTCAGGTGCTGTCATGTAAACATCAGACAGTAATTGTGGACTGTGACACTGTGAACATTTGATAAAAAAGTGTATGCTGAAATGTTAGGTTTAAAGAAATTATATTCTAGAGTTATATTAGTTATAATCTCAAGATATATCACAAATATTTTTATTTTTTGTCCGTGAAACTTACGATACTAACTATGAAGTGTTTATTGCAAATATAAATACTTTTTGAGTTCCATTTCACTCTGTTTTTCTTGTGTTCATACACTTTTTATTTTTTTGCTGTAACAAAACATTAACTTCTTTCTAGAAACTATGGATGAAGATATCCTTGAAGATGATGTTCAGCTGAAGGTATGTTATATAAACATGTGTGGTTATATACATATATATATGTGTGTGTATGATTTTAAGTTTACAGTGACTCTAATTTGGAAGTAAAGAAGCTGCTTTAAAACATGTATATAAGGTGGAGAAGGAAATGAAAAGAGAAAAAAATTAAGAATGTCATGTAAACAAAGATATTTCAACCAGTAATTTGTGACTTGAGCAGTGAAATTGTATATCAGATACACAGTTTGGGTTATATTTTGCATTTAAACTTAATTAGATCTGAAAAATAGTAGTTTGAGATCTCACAGTGTCTAAACAAAATAATAAACATTAATGATCATGGCTGAACCTTCTCTTTTGAAATAGTCTTGTTTATCTTATAATTTTAGTCTAGTCCTACTTTGTCTAAAAGGGAGACAAACAAGTTTACAAATTTTTTTTTGTCCTTTTGTTAACATTTTTGGATAAAAATTCTCATATTTTGGTATTCAAGTGTCATTTAACCTATTTTTTTCTGTGAAGATGGTCACTTTGTACCTGTTGTTTGCTGTTTGCAAGAGCATTAACAGCCAATATGATGCTTAAACAAATAGTGTGTATTTTGTGTATAGTGCTATTAGACTTGAGTTTTAAACTGTGATGACCCACTTCAACTGAACAGAAATGTCAGTCAGTCTTGTGAATTACTAAGTATTACACATGGAATTCTCAAGTATTAGACTGTCTATAAGACAAATGTATAGAAACGTTGTGATGATATATGGAATAACTGGGGATATTTGTAAAATTCTTTCACAGGATATTATATTTGTATATGACTTAATACTAGATATAACAGTTAAAATATTATCTGTTTCCACATTACCAACTGGCTCAGAAAAATTGGTGTAACTAGAGAAAATTGTATTAGGTAAGTCTATGCAAACTTGACCATCCATTTCAGTTTTTGAATTATTTTATTTCCTGGTCAATTTTGCACTTGAAAGTTGTCACTTAGTAAATGCCAAAAAACATCTCATTCACTTAGACATGACTCAATGAAAATGGAAGCTACCTTTAGCATTTCCTTATAATTATTTAGGAGAGGGAAATTGAGAAAAACAACAACTTTGGTTGCAAATGTTTTGAAAAATTGCCACACAAACGGTGTTGAAAAGACCTATGTGAAGATGTATTTAAGTCTGCAACCTGAGTAAAATATCAGATCAGTGCTGATCAGCCAATATCAAGATTGGATTTTGACAATCTGCATTTGTGTGTTCCACATGTCCAGACATCCCTAATTTATATTTACTAGTGGCGTGCATCAAGCTTCAAGATTTGTCTTGAAATAAATCATGCACTTATCAGACTACAAAAAAAGGACAAAAAAGTGTAATGTTGGTCCAAGGACTTTAAATCAACTGCAAAATATTGTAAATCATGTCAATTTAGTATTTCTTCATCAAAGTAAACCCTATAACAAACTTTCCTACAATGAAAACAAGAAGGGAGAGGTTGAACCTAGTAATAGGTAAGAATACTAAAAATAAAGTCACTTTTTTTAGTGATGCTCAGATATTTTATGGAAAATTAAACTATGTTGAAAATACATTTATCTTTGTAAAAAAAAATTAAGAAGCAGTTAATATATATCAGGACAGGACATGAACTGACACTTGCCAATATTTCTTTTCGCTTCTCTGTGATTGACCTCATTTCAGGATATGCTGTGCTCTCTCCATTGCAAAGGCACCTGAATATATTGCGTATTTTCATACGTAAACAAACTTACTGATCCGACCTTCTTAAAAGTTGGATCAGAAAAACATCAGGGAATTCTTTAGATTGGATCGACCACAGGCTTAGATGTATTATGTGCCAAAATGCTAAGGGAAGAAGAAGATTGCACACTAGTTCAAGCAACCAGCAGTGCAGTTTCCTCTGATACAAACTTAGTGATTTGTTTCACAAGGTAGAAAGATTCTCATTGTGCTAGTACTCAAACTGAAAGAGAGCTTGAACTACTTAGAAAATACAGGGTTGTTTCTGGCAGTCTGTGTTTAGCGTTTATGAAGATAGAAGAGAGTTCCAAAATGAAACTTGATCAGATGACTTCAGAATATCATAGATGTTATGCATATTAAATAAAACCATCATTCCTGACTTTTGATTTATTTTCCTTATTTATTTCAACTTTGCTTCACATTTGTAACTGAAATCCCATAGCATAGTAGTTTTTTTTGTAACAGGATAGTAAATTGAGAAATAACATATAAAACACTCAAAACACTTGAGTCTAATTCACTATACATGGTGATTGCCTTCTGTTTTATTAAACCTACCTATCCATGCTGAATACAGTAGCATTGGTAAAGAGTAAACAAATTATTTTTTAGGGTTGGCTTCATCTGTACTATGTGATAGACAGCTAATTTACTAGAAGTTATAAACAATAATGTATTTTGTAATACAATTTTAAAAATTGTGATAAAAATTCAGTGAATATGAGCTGCATGTATGGTTAAAATTTAGACACTCACTATCATGATATTTAAAAACAACTATATTGTGAGAGAAATTTGATAAACATAAAACAGATTTCAACAGTTCATGTTGTCTCATTGTTGGAAACACAGCTTTTGGGAAACCAAAAGGAGTAAAATGACCCACCAATTTTAGTCTAACAACTTTTTTAAATGGAATATTTTAGAAACAAAAATATTATATTGTCTCAATGAACTTAAAAGTTTAATGGTATATTCACCTTTATAATGATGTTTTCAGTTAAAAAGAGTTTCTACAAAAAAAACTTTCTTTGTTTCATTTAAACAGTTTTCTTTTTCAAAATGTAGGACATTGATTTTGATGAATTAGATGTTGAGGCAGAAGATGCATTGTTGGAAATTACAGAGGATGATGAGGAGTTCTCAACTTTGGAATCCTATCAAGGTATTTTTAGTAGCTGTCTCATTTTAAATAGAATTTTTGCTTTTAGTGATTTTTGTAGCCATGTGGTTAGAGCTGGGCAAGTATTATATTAATTGTCAGACTCATCTATGAATAATTAGAAGAGTAATGTGGATGCATATGTGTGTGGGAAGCTTTTTATACTTCTTTAAACTATGCAAAAATGAAATTAGGAGTAGAGAAATACGGACAAAATCACCATATTCATGAGGGAGGAGTGGGTATAGATAGTACTATGCATTGAAAAGGACAGGGTATTTTGGGAATGGATCTGTTATCCCTCAGAGCCCCATCTTAGACAGCAGGGTTTATGTGTTAAGGATTTATATGAATTTCTTCATTTGTTTATAGAAATTGAGTACCATTACTGTCACTCTGTTGAGTTTTAGTACTGGCCCTTGATACTATATATATATGTACACATACATAGATCTGGTATCTCTTACTAGATAAGTCAACCTGTTTGTCATAATTGGTCACACTATTTGGCCCAGAGTATAATTTGTACTAGACTGTTTGGTGAGTATCATGTGTTGTGGAATAAATTTAACCTCACAGTCATTGAGAAGTCTTGCATGGCCATTGGGTTCTTTCAGATCTCTATGTACCTAGCCTATTGCATGAGTAGTCTAGGCAGGTAACTTAATTGTTTAATTACTTTAAAAATGTAGCACTGTCTTTACAGTCTATCAACTTTGTGCATTCAACTACCAAAACTAAAAAATGTTTTGTATGCAAAGCATAAGTTTTACTTCCTAGTTAATTGATTAAGTTAAGCTTGTTGATTATTCATGAGATTGCTGTATATACATATGCATCTATTATATAAAGATGAAAATCTGTATGTCTGTTCATGTGTCACACCAATATCTTGGCTGTTGCAGTATTGATCAACATGCAACTTGTACGAAACAACAGCGCTTTCTGCCATGACAAGCAAGTTTGTCTTTTTAAAATGCAGCCATATATATATACACATAAAATGGACGATGCGCTACTGTGGGCATACAATTAGATTTAAGGGTAGGCTGTAAGAGATTGTGATGAGTAATAAGATTGAATAGGGTATACTCGTATCCAATGCTTGATATTGCTGGTGCATAAAAATCATAATCATTTGCCTGAAATTCCCAATTATGTTTGTTTGGTTGTCAAGGAGACACACTGACACAACATCACCAAATTTTGTCCAATCGAAACCCTCAGCTTCAACTCTGTGAAGTGTTTTTACACATGCCAGAAGCCTAGAATGTAGCTCCTACCTCTATTGTATTGTGCCAGCCTATGATGTAATCATCATTAGACTCCCTCCACCAATAGGAAGGTGACCACAATGAGTGTAAGCAATTGACCAAAGACTTATTCTTTCCTCAGCATTACTTCAGACATGTTCAAATTTATTTCTTTATTTTTGGAATTGTGAGATTTATGTGTTGCTTTTGTTCTTTAACTCTCTGTTAAACCATCTCATTCATTGTGTTTGTGCTCATGTATTTTTACTTGTCAACTTGTTACTACTATATATATATATAAACGTTTTGGGGATCATTTTGACAATGAATTTCCAGAGCTGTGTTTCTGCTACCTTCAAAAGTTATGACACTCCACTTCAGGAACCCACTTATGCGATCTCAATGGTGACTGGAGGCACTCTGATGTTTGTTACTGTCATTGTGCACCAGGTGGATGGGTCTGTTTTATATTCTTGATCTTCTATATCTGTTGCTTTGTATGAGCCTGCTTTGCCTGTAAATGATTTTGACCAAATTCTCCTCATGCCTACCTTTGCTGATACCTTTTTGTTTAAGCTTTGCACTGACCCACAGCAACCTTGTACTTCTTGACTTTGTGACAGTTTTTTATGGCCTATTTTCTACTTTCCGTGAGATTCAATCTCTTGAATCTCTCCTTACGTGGGTATCCTCTCTTTTCTACTTGGTCTCTTCCTTGTCTTCACCTTGCTTTTTCTCAGCCATTTAGAAGTATTAGGGTGTCAATCTCATTGTTTTGATACAAGTGAGCTCAAAATTTCATATACTTTTTTTATACCCAAATACAGCTTAGTTACTAAGCTTGATAAATTATAGTGGAATTCTATGGTATTGATATAGTAATTTATGATTCTTGGTTATTTGAAATGTATATGTAAAACCTAAAAAAATTATTTCGTTTCACATCCTCCACATGCAAAATTTAATAGGGCTTAGCAACCTACAGCAAGCAACAAACGAGTACAAAGTTTGTAACTAGAAGAGATAATTGTTTGCTATACTTCTTTATTTACTGTTCTATGTTTTAAGAAAAATAAGTTTTTAAACTTATTTGTAAATAGTAATAATGTATATACACTTATAATGTATTTTAACTAAAATGTGACTGTATTTTACAAAATACTAGTCCACTAAAACACAGC